GCCAAATCTGCACGTTTACCGAGCGCCGCCCGTGCCAGCCGCACTGCGCTCGTGTGCTCGCGTCGCGCCGCCGAGGCACGGCTCCAGTCCTCCAACAGCGGGACAAAGACAGAAGCAGCCGCTACATCTACATCCTGGTAAAGGGGTTTTCCCACAATTTGTTCTGTACAAGAAATGTTTCCAAAGACACAGCTCTGCTCACCAAGCAGCCCGACTCCCGAAAGTGCTCAGGACAAAATGTGCATTGCTATCAGCATTATCAAATCAGAGCCCAGGGATTCTTCACCGAGCTAATATTTATTAAAGGTGGCCCAGGAGATTGAACTTCCAAGAATAATGAGTATCCAACTAGAAATGCACCGCTACAGAGGGACTTCCTGAAAACATGGATACAAAGATAAGCCAGCACTGTAAGAAGGGAGCACCAGCCAGTCCATTAATCCTGCGCGAGGACTGGGAAATATCGAAGTATCATACACTGCCTTTAGAAATCCCATTTCACTGTAATACAGGTAATTAGCAGTGCAAGAAAACAGATACTGGGTTTTGTTCCCCTTTTAGTGGGTATTCTGACAGCAGTTACTTCAGGCAACGAGTCTGTGCCAGCTAAGTAGATGTGCTTTTGCTAAATCATCTTGCAGATTATCACAGGGCCTAAAACCCAGAGCGGATGAGATTACAGAAGCGAAGTGTGCCCTTAAGCATAGTTCAAAACCAGAAAACACCGACAGAACGGGAGTGGCAACGTCGTATTTACAACCCCGACCAATCACCGACACGACACCCACCATCACACGAGATCTCTGCTGCGCTCCGCACTCTTCAGCAGTAAGAAGAGAGACGTCCATCGCCTCCAACAGCCCAAAGGAATCTCTGGTGTTGAGGGGACCCTACTCACGAGCCTGTCTGCAACCACCAACCCCTGAATATTCTCCCTCACAAACAAAGTTAAACATGTCACTGATACTCACCCCTTTGGTAGTTTTGGTAGGCGAGGGCGGACCTGAGGAAAACAACGCAGAAAGCAGCTTCAGTACCAGCTCACGAGTTTAACAGCGTTAAGGCAACAGAATCTGCTCCCCCAGGGTTGAAAACAGTTGCTGCTTATTCACTCTTCTCTTAGATGGCAACGTCCAGTTGCCCAAAACCGTGACTTCAGAGAAGCCTCCCCTGAGAACTGCCAGCTGCACCACCACGAGAACCATCTGCTTCTGGTTTTGCTAGACCCGGTCACCCAAAGCACAAGTCAGCTGACGGGACACGGAGACTGCGAATTTGCCTAGAGGAATTCCCTTGCTCCCCAAGAAATCTCATTCTCTCCTCAGCTGACAGGGACCAGAGGCATTTTTGCAAAGGTCGATGAGTGCTGGAATTCACACTCCGGGGCTGCAACAAAAGCTCACAGGGACACTAAGCAGCCGCGTGTTGCTCCACAACTCATCCGGCTCCTTCTGGCAAACGCACGTATCTACTAGTCAGCTTTTGGGGAGAAGGCCCGGTCTGGTCTGGGACTGACAGCCAGTGAAGAGCTACGAATATGCAAATGTAAAAATAAGAATGTTTCTGGTATTTCCAGTGATCAACTCCACCTCACTCCGATGCTTATTCCCAGCTCCCGCAACCGCCCGTCCGTTACAGCTGCAGTTACTGGAACACACTGGGAGAGCCTCAGAAAACTCTACCCACCACGCACTTTGCATTATGCCAGCGACCGCATTTCTGCTTTCGCACTCCCCAGACACTTGGAAGAGAGAGTGCACAAACACACTGCAATAAAATCCTTGAAAACAAACCAGCCCCAGCCCTGGCAACACGTTCTCACCCCAAATACTCTGGGGAATGAGTCAACTTAGAACATAACGGCTCAAAGACATGATATGCTGCTACTTAACTGTCAAGACCGAACGGGATTTAGATATTGCACTAAAAAGGGACTTTAAAAGCATACAGCCATAGAAGACAGACCCAGGTTTGCAGATGTACCTCCTCTCAGGATAAGCAGCGGCACCTCGGCTCCTACTGGAAACTGCTTCAGCACCTCCACCACCTGCAGATGTGTCAAGCTCTGCACGTTCTGATGGCAAATCTCCTTGATGACGTCCCCTTTCTGAAGGCCTTGGCACCACTGGCTGTCTAAAATCATCTTCACCTTCTGTCCCGTGGGACTGTCTGCAATGGCAAACCCAAAGCCTTTGGGACCTTTGACTAGGGGAATGGTGACCAGCTCCGGCTGCGAGCCTCCCGAGGAGGCAAGAGAGATCCTCTGCTCCGACGTGTCCACGGAAGGGCCATTCAGACGACCGTTGACCAACATAGGGCCCATTTTTCCATTCTGGTCCAACACAACTGTTCCTGCTATTAAATCTTGGCTGGTCATGCAGAGATCCCCTTTGGTCACCGGCGGGCCATTGACGATAGGTGTAGCGGTCACTATATCTACCACAGGGTCTTCGTTGTCGTCAGGGAGGGAATAACCACGGCACAAAGTCATGTTCACGTACTGGTTGACGGGAACTAGCTGGAACATCTGGACAACATCTGCATGGGTATGGCCGAGGACACAACTTCCATTTATGTCTACAATGACATCGCCTGTCACAAAAGAAAGTTCAGCAACGTCAGCACCAAGCGACAGCACCCAGACAGTCCCACGCTCTGAGGCTCAGGGCGAAGCCCAACAGGATGAAACCACCGTGCTGGCTGGGCTACTGCCTCTTGGCTAGCTGTTGCCAAACAGCAGGAAGGATTTCCTCCGTGCATTTGTTCCGTTTCATCTCAGAACACAGTGTGCTAAATATATGAAGTTTAATCTGCAGCAGATTTAAAAACTGATACTGTACAGGCGCAGGAGATGAGCAGGGCACGCCCACTACTGCAAGCAGATGTCTTCTGCTTTAATTCACACTGGACAGCATCCTAAACCCCATCCAGAATAAATCGGATTTTTGGGGGGGTGTCCTGTGTTTATTTTAGGACTGGCTGAACTTAAGCCAGGATAGCACCCACGTTCTGCGCTCCAACACTGCTGCCACACACAGCTAAGCGTGTATTTTTCAAAACAAGGCAGACGTAGGCTTCAGATCCCGAAACCCTGTTTCATAATTTGCATCGTTTCGGCCAGGAAGCTCCGTGTGCGCGATGCAACGCTGCCCACGCCGAGCCGTTCACCACTGACGTGCCTGGTGCCAGTGGAAGAGCGACTCCCCTGCTGCGCAGACCACAACAGGGGCAGGCACAGGTCTTTCCATCCCAATGTGTGCGCCCCGCAGCACAGCGCTGCAGGATCGTCTGCGCTGCTAGAGGAGGAAATGAACTGCTTACACACGAGGTCAAGCACCAGGTCAGCAACAAACCAGGAAACTCTGTCATTCCTTAGGCAAGTGGTATTAAATCATCGACAGCATGAACTCTTCTTACTCCTCCGAAGAGTTTATGTGCTATGGAAAAAAGCATTTTGCCTTTTCTAGTAAACAGGGAGTTTACAGATAACTTAAATGCGCAACAACAATGGAAAAATGTGCACCACTTCGTGGATTGCAGGTGCTCTCATCCCTCGTTTCCTCACTTGCCCAGTTCATGGAGCTTTGCTTGCTCCTTCCTGCTGCAAGTTGTTTGCAGTTTTATCATTTGGCATCAACAAGGCAAAACCCAGACCAGGATTCAACCACCATTTTCACTTTAGGCGTAGAGAGGGAACAGCAAACCATGCTGTAAACAACCACGGAGCCAAAAGCCTTGGCTACAGCAGAACTACCGACACCTTCAGACGTGCCCTCACAGCAGGCCCAGAGCACCTAGAACACTGCTGCTCTTCCTTTGAGCCACTGCCCTGCACGGATCTTCCACAAATCGGGAAGCGGTTTCACTGAGCGAGGTGTTTGCATTCAGGCAGTGACGGAGTCATCCCGCGCCTCTGGAGCCGCATTCCCTGAAAGCACCCCAGGAAACGAGAGTTGGAGAAATCCGACTGTACCTGGTGCAATTCTCCCATCTTGTGCAGCGGGTCCGTCTTTTAACACGTTCTTCACCTGGAGAAACTCGTCGGGTCTGTCCCCTCCAATGATTGTGAAGCCAAATCCCATCGTACTTTTCTTCAGCGAGGTCCGTAGGAGCGCTCCTGTGAGCTGGGAGGGGTCTCGAGTGAAGACAGACTTCTCTGG